AAAGAGCGGAAGAATGGCAAGCAGAAGTAAGTCGCCACTATCCGTAATACTAGTCTTCAAAAGTATGAACTACAGTAATGATGGTGCACCATGGACTATGCCATTGCAGGTGAAAAAAGTGAAAACACAAAGACTGAAAGAACTCCGCAAATCAAACATGCTACTCCCGCACTGCCCGTAGGAGCGAAGCCTCCACTGGCAAAGCCGGATGCCTCGGTGACGGTGCAATGCCACGAAGGATGGAACGCTGTAGTGTCTGTCTTGCAGTAGCGGTAGCAGGAACAGGAGCAGGAGCAGGAGCAGGAGCAGCAGCAGCAGCAGCAGCAGCAGCAGCAGCAGCAGCAGCAGCAGCAGCAGAGCAGCAGCAGCAGCAGCAGCAGCCATAGGATAAACAGTAGTAGCAGTAGAAAAGCCGTATTCGTCGTGGCAGCAACAACAGCAGAGTTTCATCTATCTTGCATCACCAGCTTGCAATCCATGTTACGACACCCGCCACGACTGTCGACGTGGTCATTCCAAGACCACGGCAAGATCAGCAGCAATTCCGAAGGAGTCATGGCATTGTTGTTGCGACATCTGTGCAGTAAACTGATGACACCAAATTTAAACAAAAACGACTGCACTTCAGAACAGCTCATATTCATAGCATGTGCAGAGGGTTCCGTGGACGTTGGGTAAGTACGGGCGAAGAAGACACTTCTGAAAACATATGGCACATAACATGGGGAAAAAACATCTGTGGAACAGTTGGGGTGAGTGGCGTGACGGTTCATATTGTGATTTGCTGACTTTGATAATATCAATTGATGACCTGCTCTGTTTCCATTCCATCCAAGCTGAGCTCGACTCAACTCAACTGGCGCTGGAGCCACGAAAACGATGCATGCGAAAAACTCACCAACAACTTCCCCCACAAGCTGGAGACCTTCGTGTTCAGACTTTCGACATGCTTCAACCCTAAGTCAAACCCCGTCGATTCACCAACACCTGCGCCTTGAAAGCTGGCCCGCAGCAGTTCATGAAACGTTTACGGGTGGTTCGACCTCGTTCGGGCTTGCATAGTGGGACAGCCTTGAGAGTTGTTGGGCTGCAAGCGGGATGTTTAGGGCCTCAAGCTTGTGAGGTGCAACAGCCGTATCATTGGATTGCCACCAAGACTCAACAGTACAATTTGTTACAGCCAAGAGGGGGCCAGAATGAGCAACCAAGACTCCACGATTTGCTACAGTCAAGACTGGCCAGAAAGAGCCACCAAGACTCGGCAGTACGATCTGTTACGGCCAGAAGTGGGCCGGAAAGAGCCACCAAGACTCGGCAGTACGATTTGTTAGGGTTAAGAGTGGGCCAGAAAGGGCCACCAAGACCCGGCAGGGCGACTTGTTACGGCCAAGAGTGGGCCAGAAAGAGCCACCAAGACTCGGCAGTACGATTTGATACGGCCAAGAATGGACCCGAAAAAGCCACCCAAACTCGGCTGTACGGTTCATTACGGCCAGGAGTGGGCCAGAAAGAGCCACTAAAATTCGGCAGTACGATTTGTTACGGCCAAGAGTGGGCCAGAAAGAGCCACCAAGACTCGGCAGTACGATTTGTTACGACCAAGAACCGCCCAGAAAGAGCCACCAAGACCCGACAGGACGATTTGTTGCGGAGCTGAAACATGAAAGGATCCAAAATCTTCACAAAAACTCCAGCATCGAGGTGTTAAAGGCCATGGATCTTGAAATGCTGCTATCTGCTGCTATTGAAGGGGTCCCTCCCTCAAAGTGCTTGGGGTTAGGTTGGAGGATCGGAGGCTTCGGGTCCAAGCTCGAGTTCGGAGTCGGGACTTGGGGCTGAGAGCGCTGAGTGGCGGAGTCCTGCGGAGTCCGGCTGGGTCTCCCTTTATTAGGGCCTTATTAGGGCCTTACTAAATGCCTTCTTAGGTTTAAGGGGGCCCTGGCTCCCTGGCCCCCCCCTTCTCCTTGTTTCTTGCGAGGCTGCCAACAAAAGGGTCTCGCGGTCGGCAGCTCAATCCCAAAGGCCTGACAGGGAGCCCGACTCCTTGGGGAGTCTTGCGCCTCTGTCGACCCAACCTGCAGTCTCTATACAAAGCTTCAAGGCCTGGAGATGCCTGGAGAACCCAAAAGATCAGCAGGCAGAGCTCTGCCAGGGAGCCGCCACGGCCCCCCCCCCCGGCAGTGGACCTCTCAGGCCTCTAAAAGGGACCTTCTCTCTAATGGCGCCGCCGCAGCGGGCGCGGCAGCGCGCTTCTTGATCAGCGTCATGCTGCACGCGATGTTCACCATGGACTGCAGGCTTGCGGCACCTAAGCGGTTCAGGGCTTCAGGGCAGCGGCGGAGTCTTGGGCTTCCCCCAAAAGCACCCTAATCTCGGCACTTGAATCAGCTCTAAGGATGTTGGTTGGGCTTTCTCTGGGTGCAGGACATCGGGACACTCTCTCCAGCTCGTCCTTCTGCAAATCAGGATGTTTCCTCGGAGTGTTGTCGAAAGGGCCCATCTATGAAGATAAGGGCTTGTGTAGTCGATAGGTTTCTGATGTATCAGGTTCAAGACAGCAGTTTCATCTCGTGTTTAGGATGGGTCTCTAGGCGTAAGGCTTTGGGCGGCTTTCAAGCACTGGCTTCCTGGAGGACTCTGCACTCTTCGCTCCACACTTTGCCTTGCCTTCTTTTTCGGCGTCATCAGCCCGAGCTCTCGGGCTCTTCAGGCAGATCCAAAAGGGCACAACGGCCCACGGGAAAAGAAGAACTCTTTGACACGCCCGGGTTCATGTACCACTGGAGCTCCACCAGCGCTTCAAGAGGCACCTCTTTCGTCAGGAAAGACTGCATGCTCGTCATGAAGTCCTGCAGCAGTGAGCGCTCTGTTCCTGGATCTCCTAAAGTTCCGAACGCTTCTAGCCACATCCGGTTGAGGGTCTTCAGGGCTGTCCTCCTCGTCCAGCATCTTCGTCAGATCCTGCGCGGCATGCAATAAGTTGGTTTCGGGCCCCAATCCTGGTATGGCATGGGTCCCATGGGAATGGTTCCTTGCATCTCCGAAAGTGAGGGGAGATCCAACACGGGATCCACACAACTAATGCGGCCGCAAGCCGCGCTGTCATCGCGAGCGGTTGGCAGAGTGTGCTTACAAAGGAGCTTACGAAACAAGCCTCTGACAAATCGATACTGACAAGTCTCAACCCTGTAGCCCAATTACATATTGCACAATAATTTTGAGGCGGCAGGATGCTGAGTAGTCCGCGTCTCAAGGGACGGAGGATTTCGGATGTCAGAAATCCAAGTACATGAAGCCTCCCGAATCCCTTGGACCCTCTACTCGCCAAGCCCTCCCATCCAAAAAGAAAAAAGGCCAATCGCAAATGCCTCAAGCGCTCTACAACTCAAAGCCCTAAAACCTAAAGTTCTGGAGGACCTTAATCCTCGCCTCCCAGCTCTTTCGGGGCTTCTCCAGGAGACAAGCGACGCCCTCGCGCGAGCGCGGCAGTGTACGATTTATTGAATTCGGAGCTCAGAGAGGTTAAACCTCAAGTATGGCTTTGGCGTTTCGGGATCAGGTTTAGGTTCTGAATAACACTGTCCCTGCTGTGGAGCGAGTTGGGAACATCCGGCCAGTCTGATGTTGCTGTACAGCTGCCGTGTCAACGGGGTTTGCGACTGGGAGCCAGTAAGAGGATCCAGGTTGGTTAACAGACCTATTTAATTTCAGAATCGAGGATTCTAAAGAGGGCGCTGACCTTAAAGCCCAGAAGAACAGGCCCGCTTCTCTTCCCATCCCAGAGCCTGAAACTCATTTTATTCCAGGGTTTCCTCGTCAAGAGGACCTGCACCTCATCCGGGAACAGAAGGGCTCTCTCCGCAGGAATCCTAGTTCGGAATCATCATCCTTCCTGAAAATCAGCACCATCAGGAACATTCTGTCTTGTTTGTAGGGGACCCATTAAGAGGGCCGTCACCTTCAGCCTTCATGCAACAAGGCTTCTTCGGAAAGCAAAGCGAACCCCTACAGTATGCTCCCTGAAGGAAATGTGAGACCTTCGTGATAAGAGTGCCAACCGGCCAAGCACACAAAAACGCCTGTTGCAGAGACTTGAACCCCTGCTGCTGGGCGTCCTCCATGGCCAGGCGGATGCACTGGGGTGGCGTCTTCAGGTTGATCAGCTCCTTGATTTCCTGGAGGTCCAACATAGGGCAGGGCGTGAGGGCAGAGTCTGGGTCTCAGGTCAGTAGGCTGGTTCGAAAGATCGAAAGAGGCAAAGGCACGAACCACCCCTAGCCAGTCTGCAACACAACGGCAGCGAATGCGCGAGTCACGGGCAGGTTCATCTCACGACACGACGCCGTCCGTCTGCCTGAAGCTAAAGTCTTTAAGGTTTGTGAAAGCTGAGCACCCAGGACGCGAAGCATCGATCCTGAACTGCCCGAGACCTTGAAAGCAAACCCCGTGGACTCTGCCGAGGTTCCGCTGCGTGCACCGGCAAAGATGCCACGCTGTTCGTGGCCTCGTCCAAGAGTGGCGTAGCCTCCTCTTGGCTGATCCTGACGGCTCCCGAAACGCGAGAGGGAACTCTAGGCTGAGAGCTGTGGTGGAAAAGCTGCATCTAAGTTCGGGGCGAGAGCCGGCAAGAGCCACAGCTGATCGTGGGGTCCATGCATGTTGGGGTGCTCTTTTCGAGGGGCTGGCCGACGGGCGGCCGCAGTCACGTCTTAGTTGCCTCTTGCCAAGCTAAGCACCTTCCAGTGCTCGTCTAACCCCGGTGTGTCAAAGATTGGGCGGTCTGATCCCTAAAGGAAAAAACCCTGCTGCGACGGGCCACCTCAACCGGCCTTTGAACTTTGGAGCAGCTTGAACCGGAACCCAGTTTGGAGCCAAAAGTCTTCTCCCCGTAGGAGAGCTCCGACGCGGTGTAGCTGAATTCCGCACTCGCAAGGCCCGCATCGTCAAAACCCTGGTCGCCCAAGGTCTTGTACTCATCCTCACTCGAAGACAGGCTCAGGAACTCAGGGGCTCGACGACTCGGGAAGCTGCGTCGAATGCAAGTTGCTGCACAAGCGTCCATGCTGGTGTCTGTGGAGACAAAGAACTGGATGACCTCAACAAGTTCTCGACTGACTCCGACTCGTCTTCTGGGCGAGCACTGCTGGGATTCAGGGCTGCTGCTGCCTGGTGCATCGCCGTGCAGGGCAGCGGGGGGGGGGGGTTCCGTAGGGTTCCTCCGCGCCTGCGTCTTGGTTTCCGGCAGCTTCTCTCGCAAAGCGGCCGCCAAGTCCTTGTACGTAGAGTCCTTTCGCGGAGAAGGGGCGGCCCGGGAGGCCTGGGTGGTAAGTTTCGTCTTGGCATCTTAAAACTCTTTGAACACGTCGTGATTTCAACCCAAACTGGGAGGATCTTCAGTGTGATTTCCCCCTACTGTCACAGACTGTCCCAAATGTGAAGAGCCCTGCCCCCAATTCGCTGTAGAGGTTCGGCCTTACGAGCCAAACGGCCTCGGCTGAAGTGCACATGGCAGGAACTACCCTCGCAGGCCATCGCCTCCAACACCGCACCCAACCCCCAACCTGCTCGAAAAGCGCTTTTTTTGCCACGCGACCCAACTGGCACATCTGTCACCGCACACAAAGTCACAATACCAACAGCCCACACCCAAAACCAAAAATCAAGCGTCCTTGGTCACAGGCAGCTTCACGATCTCGCCCGAGGCCGAACGACATGCGAGGCAGGGGGCCTGCCGTTGCGGAGCTTTCGTGCTTCCGGTGTGGAGCGGATTTAAGGGATCAGTATGCCAGTCTGCAAGGCAGTAAGGAGGTTTTCTGGGGCTTGGGGCTTGATTGTTAAGTGGCTCATGAGGTCCGCGTCACAAAGAGCGGTCGCCCTTCGTTCCAAAAGCCTCAGATCGTTTGGCAGGGTCAGCAGTTTCGGTCCGGGGCGCTCGTTCTCCCACAACCCGTGAGTCTCTGCTGCTCAGGGTCTGGAGTCAGACATGCCACTCCTTTCATCGGTTTAGTTGTTCCCCATTGCGGTTCGGAGTTCGTCGGTTCTGAAGTTGCAGGGTTTGTTTTGCCATTGCTGGTGGGAAGTGGAGACTAGAAGACCGTTGACGATGCTAGTCTTCTTGTTCGGGCCTCGGGCCCCAGAAAGCTCTTCCAGTGAAATCCGAAATCCTGGTGTCACATGGCCCTCAACTAGATGTGAGAAAACGCGGCGGCCCAGGCCCCCCACGGCCTGCAGGAGTTGCAGGGCCTCCTGCAGCTTGGTCTTCGCTTCGCTTGGGAGCTCCCCGTAAGCCCCTGCCAGGTCCGCCGCGCTGGCATCCTTGTGGCGTCGTCTGAAAGGCGGCTTTCGAAGTCTCATTTCCCAGGCCGTCTACGGGGCCTTGCAAACCTTACCACCTGCACGCCCTGAGCTCTCCCTAACTCAATTTCTCTCCAGGTCGGGGCTCCGCGAGCTTCGACTGGGCGCCACTCCCCATCTCGAGGCGGACAGGACGGAGGGACCTCAGGCTCCGGAACCGGAGCTTTTGAAGCTCGGAGGGGCACTGTGACACTGTTAGGTAGCCAAGGCAAAGGCCAGAAGGCACAGGTCGGCAGCTGTAGGCCACAAGCCAAGATGGCAGCTACCGAGGCAGACGGTTACATACAACGTGGGCACAGGCAGACCAGACAAGAAACAAGACGGGATGTTGGGTACCTTTGCTCGGCACGAAGTATGACGTTCTACCGTTACTGCAACAACCACCGGTGGGTGTGGGCTCTGCCAACTGTGCAAGTGGAGGTGGGCTCGCAGCTCATTTCTTCGCCGGGAGAACCCTAGCAACCAAACATCCCCAAAAAAGCTCAGCTCTCTGCCAGCTTGACTGGCGTGAGCCAGCTACAGCTACTTGCCATGATTATTATCACTTCTTCCTCATCACTGCCTCGCTCATTCTCGTCGCCCTCCGAACTTTCAGCTCAGCGAGCGTCAGCAATCGCAGCACGTTAGGCCGTGTAGGCTGAAGGCTTTGGGCTTGTTTTGAGTTTGAGGCTGAGCCGTCACGTGGATGGCTGAGGCTTTGGGGCCGTGCAACTAAAGCGACTCTGCCGTTTCCTGCTGAAGGCTTGGGCCGGGTCTCAGCAAAGTCTCCGCGCTGGCGCTCTCCCGAACGCATCCCCGAATACCTCGACGGCCTTTCTGCGCTTAAACGAACCCGGCTATCCTTCTGCACAGTGGCACCAGGCCGGTCTTCTTGTTGACCCCTGTGTGCCGCGAAGCCGTGCAAATGCACCTCTCAAGAGGATTGTCTTTAAGAGGATGTTCTTGAATTCGGCCCAGGCGTTCGCTGTCGCGTCGGCACGTCTACGGCACCTGACTGCAAAGACCTGGGTCACGGATAGGGCTCAGAGCTCTGTAGCTGCGCCCTCCGTCTCCGTGAACTCTGTCACGGATGGCTGGTAGCCTGTCTGCAGGAAGGCAGGGCCAAGAAAGTGGCGAGAGCGAGAGCGAGACTTCTTCTGCACCAGAGCAGTGGCTGTGGAAGCAGAAGGCTGGTATCGCAAACACGAAAAGCCTTTGAGCGGGAAGGTCGCCTGAATGCCTTCTGGTCGTGTCCACACTTCGCAACGACCGGCGGAGTACTCGATTCCCACGCAGTCGGTACGTCCAGTGCATGCCAACTTGCAAGCGTCCAAGCTTTGCTCCCGAACCACTGTGTAGTAGTTCGCAGAGTTGTCCTTGCTGTGAGCGCCTCGACAAGCCTGGTCACCCCCATTGACGAACTGGAAGCCTGTGTCCCGCGCCCAGCAAGCGAAGCCTTCGACGCTCTCTGTGGCTTGGACTGCTCGGGTCCAAACCTCGCATCGGCGCAGCAGGAAGCCGTACTCGATCCCCTTGCACTCTGCATTCTTCAAGCACAAGGCCTTGCACAGCGCAGGCATTCCATGCTTGCACGGCACAGGCACGTGGAACTAAGCAGCTCTACGTACTTTACTATCCCATTGCACAAGCAGCATCGCTGGCCTTGCACTCGAAGAGGCTGTCAACGTTTTCGTGAATGCTGTAGTAGCTGGGGGAGTTGTCATTGGCATTTGCCCCTCTGCAGGTGCGTCCAAGACCGCCATCCATCGGTTGGAAAGAGCTGGCTCCAGGTGGCTCGTAGCGTAGGCAGCGGAAGTTGTCCAGGGCTTTCGTGGCGCGGATGCCACCCGGCCGCGTCCAAACTTCGCAGCGCCCGCTGGAGAACTCCAGGCCGCTGCAGAGAGGCTCCAGCAGGCAGGCCTGTTTGCCTCAGTCACGGCCTTAAACCCCCTTGGAACCTCTCAACATGAATCCTTCACCTTCATTCTCGTGCCCCACGCTTCGAGAAAGCAGGAAGTATAGGCCCCTAGTAGCGGCCTTGCTTTCGTGGCGAGATGCAGGCCTCCAGGGACCCGGAGCCGGAAGCGACGACTTGGTAGTGGCTTCCACTGTTGTCGTTCTCGTGTGCGCCCCGGCAGGCACGGCCCAAACCGTCCACTTCCTCGAAGCCGTCGCCGGTGCTGGAGCTCGAGGTGCTCGCCTCGGCCGCGACAGCTTTCGATCCCCTGGTGGAATGAATCCCCCTGAAAACAAAACCGCACCCTGCGTTCAAGAGCAGCAGAAGTGCCGAGACTGTGGTGGTCATTGCCGTGCTGGTGGTGCTGGACTTGGTAGCCATGCTTCTTGGATAATACACCTGAGTCTGCTATGTCAGGTGCTATGTCGCCGCAGAAATCGCCCACGCCAGAGACTGCCGCGCAGACCGCAAACGTAGCTGAGCCTGGCCTGAGCCGCCGGCCGTGATTTTGGCAGCGTTCGTCGCATCGGGGGTTGGCCCGAAGAGGGGCGTCTCCGGGGACTCCTCGTGCGCATCCTCATTCATGGGCTTCGGATCGTAAGGCCACACGCCATTGGGGCTGCCTGCAGGGCCCCATCGCCCCTCCCTGTCGATGTGCCAGCTCGTCACCCACCTAAGTGCAATGCACCTCACAAACAGCCAGCTCATCTAGCTGTCCCTCACTGCTGGCAAGAAGCGCGACGGCACCTTCGGCCGTGGTGGTCCAGTCCTGATAGAGTGGCCAGTGGGTGTGCTGTGTGACGTCGCTCCGCTCGGACACTTCGTTGCAGTCGCCATCCAGCTCCACCAGCCACCGAGACCTCGGCGCGCAGGCAGCTCTCCTTTGGAATGCCCATAGCCTATATTGCGGAAGCTTCGTGTAGGAGCCTTACCTATAGCCAAGCAGCTTGTCCAGCTTCTCGAAACCCATCAGAAAGCGCTGCTCCGGGCCGCAGTTCGAGCTGTCGCTGTCGACTCCCAGGTGGGCGAGGCGCAGCATGCGGCCAGGGGCCTGGTCCCCGCAGTTCTTGCCGCTGCTGCCGCAGGGCATCTTGCCAACAGAGGCCTCGATCACCTTCCAAAGCAAGATCTCTCCCAAACGGCTCACCTTCGCGCAGACGTTGCCGCTGTCGGCGATGATCCCCACCAGCCAGCCCTCGCCACAAGGCCTCAGCGCGTTGGCCTGCAGCCCGGTGTCGTTGCCCACAGACAGCTCTAGCCTTCCAGTCTTGTGCCCCGGCGGAGCAAAGGCGCCCTCCGTGGCACTCAGGCCATACTGCTGCATGTACACGGCACCGTGCGTGTGCTTCTGCAGGCCTATGTCCTGCAATTTCGGATGGTAGGACAGGGCCGCCGATGCTTGGTGGTCGCCGGTGCCTGTTCGGTGGTGGTCTCGCCAAGGCCCGGATGCCTCAGAGCGAAGCTCCAGCTGATCTCGAGGCACCGGATAAGTGTACTTCTCATAGTCCTCCGCGCTGATCGCCGGTGCATCCCGGTGGTACGTATGCATGGCGAAACCCGTGTGAGACCCCACGGTGGCCCCGTACCACGCAGTCCATGACCGGTGCGCCGGAGAGTAGACCAGGTAGCCGTAACCGGCCGAACGCTGAGCAAACCAGGCAGACAAGGGCAAACTGCCCCAGATCCCGGTGTTGGGCGCGGTCTCCTCTGCTTGGTATTGCTTGCCTATCTGCCAAGGCTTCTTCTTTGTCATGCTTGTGGTGTTGAGCTCACAGACTGCCAGGACCATGGCAGCGTTGTGGACGCCCTTCCCCGTGTTTTCGACCCACGGATGCCAGTACTTGGCGCAGAGCGTTCCCACTTGCCCGTCCTCCGTCATATCGATGCCGCCGGCCCGAGCAAATCCATCGAAGGCCTCGCTCTCCGCCAGAAGCACCGGCTGACCCTTCTGTGAGGGCAATCTTAACTTGCTGACCTCAGCAGGTGTTCGCATCGGGCGCCACAGGCATGCACCCCGCAGACTTCTGGAACTGCAGCTGAGGGACATAGACCCGACCCTCATCTCCAGCAGAGGCAGCTTTGCCGTAGTCCAAATCGGCCGTCCAGGAGAAGTAGATGTTGGGCTGGGTCTTATCGGCCACGGCATTCATCGGGGAAGGTCCGCGGAAGATGTGCCCGTGCCTTCGATGTAGAGAGCTGTGGATCTGAAGAATCAGGAAGACCCCCCGCCCTCCCGCGCGCCCTTCCCCGGCCCCGCCGGCCCGCCGCGCCTGGCTGGACCTGCGATCAGCTCCGGAAGGCACACCGTGGACACCGTCAGGAACTCCGAGACCTGCTGCGGGGCCGGGCTTTTTCCCACGAGATGGCAAGATTCAGTAACGAAAGGGGTGAGAGAGACCGAGACAAAAAGAGAGCCAAAGCCCCTGGAGTCAGGAGACAGGAGATGCTGAAGATAAAAGCGGAAAGTGCCTCCTCGTGCTGAGCGTAGCAGCCGAAACGGTCGATGTCCGGTGCCACCTCGCAGTTCTCTCCGGTGTGGCCGTCGATGCACTGGCACTTGCCCTCCAGGCAGAAGCCACCGAAGGGCTCGTTGCAAGAAACGGCCGCGCAGGCGCCCAGCTCACAGGCTTCTCCCTGGACATCCGCATCGCACTTGCAGGAAGCTGCCGCCTCCAGAGCTTCCTCCAAGTCGAACTCGTTCACCATCCCCTCGCTGCCGAAGTCGCACCTCGAGGAGTAGTCGTAGAAGGTCGTCGAGCTGCAGAAGCCCTTGCCACAGGACGCCACGGACTCGCAGGCGCCGCCGCAGGCCTCCGAGGATTTCTCAAACTCCAGGGTCGAGAACCTCGCCTGTCCTCAGTCACTTCTATAATGACATCTTACTTGCAATGCTGGAGAGCGCGGCCCCGTTTCCCCTGAACCCAGTCCTCCTTTCACTTCCGGATCTCCTTGAATGCTCACTTCGATCACGCCGGCCAGGGTCGGGATACACTTGAAGTGGTAGATGTCGGTGCGTGTGTGGTGGCACTTGGTGATGTAGTCCTTCTTCACGACCTTCCCGTTGATCACGATGTCCATCTTGCCGCCGCCATGCCACTGCTTCTCGCAGAAGTTGTACCTGCATTCCCCAAAACGCTGACCGGCCAGAGCGAGCTTGAAACAGCTTGGTCTCGCAAAAGTAAGTAGAAAACCAAAAACCGAGAAAAAAAAAAAAGCGAGGACCCATCAGCAGCTGGGGTTCTTGACCGTGTAGTAACTCACGGGTTCCTGGGAATCCTGCAGGTTCACGCGGAAGGTTTGATTGGTGCCGTGCTCGATGCTGTAGTGGTGCAAGAGGGCCTCATAGTCCTGGTCGTAGTCTGCTGGCCAAGTCTTGCACTTCATCCGCGGCGAGCCCCAGGAGTTGGAGTAGTCTCTTGGCTCCGAGCCCATCCAGCCGCCCCAGTTCGTCGGAGTCCAGGCCTCATGCGTGTGATGCCAGAGCCGCCCCTGGCTGTCCACGTAGTCTTCGTCGAAGCCGCCGTTGATGCCAACCCAAGCCAGGCCCGCCGCTTCCGCCGCGTCCTCTGGGCAGCCTAAAAAAACGAGCTGTGAGACTGGGAGACCTTAATTAAGGAGGAGTGCCAGTACAGTACCGCCCCCTGACAGCACCAAAGACCCCCCCCGGAGTTTCGGTTCCACGTCTTGGCCAGGGCCCGGTCGGCCGGTCGGGGCCCCGGACCCCCCCGCACCTCCGCCAAGGACAGCGCGAGGAAGCTCAGAGCGGCGCTTCGCCAAGCGCCATGGCGACCATGGCGAGCCCGGAGCATCCCGAGATGCGCAAACACAAATACGTAAGGAAAAGAGAGCTGCGATAGTTATCTATACTATGGGCAGGAAACCCAAACCTCATGGGACTGTTCTAAAGCCATAATGCCTGCGAACGCATCCGAACGCGCTGCGGACAGTCTGCCCCTTGAGCCCCCTACTTGCCATCTGCTGGCATGCCCTCACCCTGCTGAAGGGTTTCAGTTCCCGCGGGCAGGCTTTTTGTGGGCAGCCGTTGCCGGATCTGAAACTGAGGTCTTTCTTTCTTAGCGCTCTCCGACGGCTTGGCCGTGGGATGTGGGGCAATTGCAGAATACAGAGGATCAATCAGCGATTGCTCCTGGCAGTACGGAGTGAAGGCCTTCAGTCGACGCTACCGTCGTCTTCCGAGGTTTTGTCTCGATTTCTATGTCCGAGTTCACCGTCATCGAATGATGAGCTTTCGAGGCAACCGCCGCAACCGCACTCAGGTTTGTTGAGAAGCGCTCGTGGAACTTCTTCTTCGTGTCAAATCTGGTCAAGAGTTGCGAGAAATCGACGTGCTCCTGCGGTTGAAACACGAAGTCCAGGTTCATGTCCTTACAGCGGCAGATGAGCTCCATGTCGGACATCAGCGCGTCGCCGTAGGCCCGGAGGTCCAGATCGTTTGGATCGTTTCCAAGCGGGGACTCAAGGATTTCGGCCACCTGCACAGGAGAGTCAGAAGATTCACCCGAAAATCCACGGAAAATCCCACAAAAAACCAAAAACCTTTGGCCTACTTCACAAAAGGGCCTCGTCCAAGCCGTAGAAGCCTATGGTGGCCATGGCCGCGAAAGCCAAGGTCCACCAGCGACAGAGCTGTGCCAAGCCGAAGGGGAGGAATCCCAGGAACACCAAGGTGATCCACTTCACGATCTGGCAATATGGAAATGGGAATTGTGTCTTATCAATCTTGTCCATATGCCAGAACTTTTCGCCCAAAGCATCCAGTTTGCCGAGCAAAAAGCTCATGATGTCAGTCTCAACTGCTTGGTGATCCAGTATCTGTCGCAAGGAGAGCTCTATCCAGAATAGGATGATGGAGGGTCTTGTGTTGTCGTGAACAGACTTCGAGCCCTCTACAGACTTGTGCTCACCAGGATACAAGATCGTCCACTCCGTGTCGCCGGCCAATGCCGCAACATCCCGTCGCAGCCGGTCTTGAGTCTTCTTGCTGGCGGTGGCATTGGAGCCCGTCCGCTGAAAGAACTCAACGACCGTCAAGTAGTACAGCGCAAGAAGCCGCACAATCCTCTTGGCATTGTTTGCAACTTCCGGATGGGCCTCCCACTTCACCATGCTACACACGGTCATTGAAATGCTGCGCAGCAAGTGGCACATCGTCGTCAGGTCATCCAAAGCTTCCCAGAACTGCTTGCAAGCCTCCTGCGTCTTCAGAACCAGCAAAAAGGACAGGAGGATGGTCACGGCCGCTGTGCCGCTCTGAACCTGCTCCCCAAAATTTGTCGGAGCATAGTCCTCCACTAGGAGCACGGCTGCAACGGAGATGCCCTCGATCACCAGCAGCTGAGGCAACAAATGCGGCACGATGGAGCCTCGAATCTTGAAGAGTAGCCTGGGGGTGATGGTAAAAAAGCTCCAGGCACTGCCTTCTGCAGCCGACGGATAGCTCACAACCATTCCTTCTCTGGTGGCAGCGTCCTTACAGTGCGGGGTTCACAGCGGAAAAACGCCTTCAAAAGCAACGTCACACAAGAGGCTGCCAGAAAAAGGATTTCTGGTGAGCACAGCAGCCCGGTCAGCATGCGAGTATCATTTCGTCCGGACCCCTAGAGAAAAAGGCGTCCCTCCATTTGGAGGAACCACCTTCGGAGGCCGGCGCGCATTCTCTGTGAGCCAGATTCACGGTTTTGGCATGGGATTTAGATGGATTCGGGCTGGGGTCCGTTTTTTCCGTAGGATCTTTTCAGCTTGACGGCCTTGCTTTCCCACACTAAGCGGCGAGGGAGTGGGCTAGGTGGATAACCTAGCGGAGCGAGCGAAAAGGAGCCAGTGTGAGGGGTGAACCGAGTGAGGGAGAGAGTTGGGGAGTCGAAGAGCAACGGACAAACCCTGAACAAAAAAGAAGTAACTGAGCGAGTGGAGGAGGCAGACCAAGTGATGCAAGCTGAGCTTGCAGTCCGCAACGGGAACGGCGTGTCTAGGCGAGGCATGCTGAGAATTGTTTGTTACATGTGTAAACAAAATGTCTACAAGCAACTGCCTCCCAGCCCTGTCTGCAGCCTGACTCTTTTTGCAGCAGGGTCAATCCAGAACCACCGCCTCACAGAGGAACAGCAAAGGGAACCGACTTAGCTCCTTTGATAGCTCCTTTGCCTCGGCGGCGCCCGCTGTCTCCGCTGCTGGCCGCGCTTGCCGCGCGGCCCGGCGCTCGCGCATGCGTTGGCGCCTGGACGAGAGACGGACGACCGCCAGACATGGCTGCGCATGGCTCCGCCCCGCTCCCCGTCCCATCCGCGGCCTCTCGGCCTCCTCCTCCACCTGCACAGCATCCGAACTTGACACTCCGACCGCAATAATAGCTAAAGGGGTAGGCACCCGATTTTCCCCATGCTTTCGTCCCAACGCCTCAACTGATACATCCCTATATCCCACCCTACGTGTTTGGACATTCTTACCCTACACAATTTAACCGAACATAAATCCCAAAATTCCGAAATCTGAATTCCAAATCAATGTTCCGAACAGTAAAATAAAGAGAACAACTAAGCGAAATCTGGTAAACAAATAATGCGCGGAACATGCGGACAAACCTACAAAAAAAAACATTTCTGGATGGAACAACAAAACATATGAACACACCATATCATTCAAAAGTCGTTGAACACTGGTAGAAGACAAACCCTAAATTGATGCAACAGCGCTTACAAAAGAACAGGGCAAAGATGAAGAACGGAAGTTTTGAATTGTCAAAAGGAACTGATAATCTACTTAACAGTTTTATCGTTAAATAGTTTTTTTGCTGGTGGCTTGCTTTATGAAGAATTGACTTCGATGTATTATGTTACGTCATTGTCTTTAATCTTGTTTATGTCAGTTCTATGTTTTCAAACCGTACATCTCTTTTGCTAATAGTGTTTGTTGATGGTATTGTGGTTTTGCGTGCTGTGCTTTCTTGTCAAATTTCACATCGTATTTACAGCTAAGACAATGCTGTATTAAATATATATAGTCTTTTCTATATGCTTGTAATTGTTCCAAATTATTTTCTCTGTATTAGTTTTTTCGTTCTGCAATCTGTTCTTTATGTGCTTCTCTGTATTGCCTGTCTTTAACTTGTATTGCTTCTGGATGGTCTGCATATGTTTTTCTGTTTTTTTGTCTGCATCCATCGCAACTCTTGAAGTTGTCGGAAAACTCCCACCATTTTCTATTTACTTTACAACTTTTACAAAACCTTTTGGACATCCCTATTAGTATATCGTGTCACTCTTCAAACGCATACCACATACGACCTTTTTAACAATCCCTATACCTGATTCTGAATCTTCACATTAAGCCTCCTTTCAGTTTTTTTTGACAAGCTGATTCCGATCCTGCTTACTACCTTATGTAAGTTCTTTCTCGCTGCTCATCTTTATGAATGGTAAAGTCACTGTATCCAACTGCTCCGAAAGATACTGTTTTTGTGGAATTTATAACAGCATCATATTTGTTTTTTTGGGTTTTGGGATTTTTGTATTGCCTTATTCACAGTCATATAACTGCATGTGATATGACTAATTCAATAAGTTTGTATTATTTATTGCACTGTTTATCTTTTATATATACTTCTTTGGTATACATTTTTCAGTTTTTGTAAATGTTGGCTTGTTTTTTCGTATATTTACTACCAACAGAATTAATCAAATTATTATTGATACGTTTATAATTTCTGTAAGTTTGATTGTTTATTACGTGACTGTTGTATGCTTCTTCCCATACTTCTCTCATTTTTTGAATACCTTTGGCTCTTTTCTTCTTTTGTGGTTGTTTTTCTCGTTT